GTGTGACTGTTGTGGCCTCAGTCCCACACTTACTTACCAATTCCACACCTCACTGTGGAAGTCCTACCAAGCGCCAGGCCCTCTTCTAGGGATACAGCCCGAGGCCAATGAGACACAGTCCGGCTCTGACAAAAGTTGGGAAATTCACACAGTGAAGAAGTCAACACATTCATCAACAGAAGAAATGCCAGCTCATGATGAGTGCTTGGGGGAACTAGGACAGATGGGTGGGGGAGAGCATGTGTGGGGAGTGATGGGAGGCGAGATTGTTCTTCAATACACAATGATCAGGGAGTCCTGGCCAGTGAGTCCTGGCCGGACATTTCCCTGGAGACCTGTAGGATTGGGGGAGCCTGCACTCAGGTATCTGTAGAAATCGGGCTCCGGGGACAGGGAAGACAAATGCCAGTGTTGTGCAAAGGGGCCCTTCAGGTTCAGGTCCAGGCCAGGTGTTCTGGGGGCCCCTGCAGTCTCTCCCCTGTTCTCCACCCCACAGGCCCTCACCTAGGAGTCATCCTATTGAAGACCAGGCTTCTAAGGGAGAGGAGAGGTGAGTGGGGTCCTTCCTTCCCTCCATCATTAACCACTGAATCTCAAGGGTAAGGTTTGGAGGCACCACACAGGTGCCAGATGGATCCTAGGACTAAAGCAAACACTTCCAGTCCCTCATGGGAACTACTGTGTATGGGAGAGCAGGCATTAGACAAATAACCTAGTGCTGATTTCTAGTCCATATATAGGATAAGCCCCAATGGGGAGGGCTTAGATAGAACCCTTTTCCTAGGTTCTATCTAAGGTCCCACCTGCTCCCTGCGATCTCCCTTATGTCACTCCAATAGCCAGGCCCTCTCCATGTTCAAAGTCCTGTCTCAAGGACAATTGTTAGCCTGAGGGTCACGGGAGTATCTGTTATGTGGGGCTGTCCTGCCCATGGACCCACCTGGGCCTCATCTCTGTGTGGACTATTGTAGCTTCAGGACATGGGCACAGGGACAGAAGGAAAGTGGAAGGTACCAGGGCATCTCCCCGAGGACGTGGCTCACTGCCTGTCACTGTCCCCCACAGGTCCCTTCTCAGCAGCATCTACTTCCGGCTCCTGGTCTTCCTGGAGGTGCCCCTGGTCTTGAGCATGCTCAGTGCTGTCCTCTGAGGGAACAGGCCTCAGAGGGGATCTGGGGTGGGGAGGCGGCATCAGCCCAATAACTAAAATCAGTAACACCAATTGCCCATTGATGACCTGCCCAGGAACACAGCCCATCTGATGGATGGGAATGGCCTTCTGACCAACACCTCCAGCCACCGTCCTTATTTCATTCCGAATACTCTGTAAACTCTTTTGTAACTTCCTTGCAATCTTTCATAGACACAAAAATGTTCCCAATAAATGCATACTCCTTACAGCCCAAATACTCTTCAACTCTTGGGTGCCCACCTCACAGCTTAAGTAATAAACATCATTAATATTTCTGAAGTCCCAAGCTGCCCTCTGAGGAAACCAAGTGTGAATCTTACATTCATGTTCTCCTTGTTTTCTTCATGGGTTTGCCATATATATACATATATATTTTTGATCTATATACTTACATTTTTTATCAGTCCCCAAGTTCACATTTTTTTTAAAAAGATTTTATTTATTTGACAGACAGACACAGTGAAAGAGGGAACATAAGCAGGGGGAGTGGGAGTGAGAGAAGCAGGCTTCCTTCTGAGCAGGGACCCCGATTTTGGGCTCGAACCCAGGACCCTGGGATCATAACCTGAGCTGAAGGCAGATGCTTAAAACTGAGCCACCCAAGTGCCCCTCCCAAGTTTACTTTTATTTTTATTTTTTCCAGCTTTATTTAGATATAACTGACACATAACATTATGTGAGATGAAGGTGTAGGTCATGTTGATTTGATACATATATATTGCAAACTGATTACTACTGAGGGGTTAGCTAACATCGCCACCACGCCACATCACTCCCATTTCTTTTTCGTGATGAGAACATCTAATATGTATTCTCTTAGCAGCTTTCAAGTATATAACAGAATATCATTAGCTATTGTCTTCATGCTATATGTTAGGTCTCCAGAATGTATTCGTCTTGTAATCGGAAGTTTGTATCCTTTGACCAATCCAGTTAAAACATGAGCAGAGAAGGGTGCCTGGGTGGCTTTGTTGGTTAAGTCTCCAATTCTTGATTTCAGCTCATGAGCTCAAGCCCCATGTCAGGCTCTTCGTCAAGTTCCACACTGAGCTCGTGGAATCTGCTTAAGGTTCTCTCCCTATCCCTCTTCCCCTCCACTCAGGCTCTCCCTCTCTCTCTTTCTCTCTTAAAAAAAATCAGCAGAGGAACTAAATAGTTTCCAAAGAAGACATATAAATGGCCAACAGGTACATTAGAAAGTGCTCAACATCCCTCATCATCATGGAAAGGCAAATAAAACCATGATGAGACATCACCTCACACCTGTCAGAATGGCTATCACCAAAATGACAAGAGAGAGCAAGCATTGGCAGGAATGTGGAGGAATGGAAACCCAAGTGCACTGTTAGGGGAACTCTAACCTGGTTAAAAGAGTTGGTGAGTAGGTGCTCAGTAAGCATTTGCAAGTAGAAGAGCAGGGCACAAACCTGTACCCCAATAATAACTCTTGAGCCAGCATGGCTGCATGGGAACACCAGCAGGGATGCCCTGCACCATCTGTGCAAGACAAAGTGGACTCCAACCCCTTTGCATATCCCACACTGCCATGAGCCCTTCTGCTCTGAGCTTGTCCCTTGACTGCCTTTGGCCACACAAGGATGGTGCAGTTGGGGCAAACTTTCCCAAAGGATTGACATGAAGGAGAAAGTTTACATCTCAGGGTCAGGGAAAGGAAAAATTGAGATTCAAACAGCTTTATGCCTTTAAAACCCATCAGCCCTGTTCCTGAGTTCTGCTCCCAGCTGACTGTCGTTCTACCCTCTCCACCTTCCTTCAGACCAACTCTCAACAAAACACATGGACCTGATTCATAGTTCCACCCATCACAGTCTGTGTTTATGAAAACTTCCCACATATTTTTATTTTTTTTAAGATTTACTTATTTATGAGAGAGAGAGCAGAAGGAGAGGGAGAGAGAGAATCCTCAAGCAAACTCCCCACCAAGTGCTGAACCCAACATGGGGCCCGATCTCAGGACGCTGAGATCATGACATGAGTCAAAACGAAGAGTCAGCCATCTCACTGACTGAGCCACTCAGGGACCCCTGACATATATATATATATATATATATATATTTTTTTTTTTTTTAAATGAGACCAATCACATTATAGGAATTGTTATTTTGTTGTTGTTGTTGATTTTGAGTTGTATGAGCTCTTTATATATTTGGGATATTAACCCCTTATCTGATACATGATTTGCAAATATTTCCTCCCATTCTGTAGGTCTTTTATTTTATTAATTGTTTCTATTGCTGTACACAAGTTTTTAATTTGATGCCATCGTACTAATTAAATTTTGCTTTCATTGCTTACAATTTTGGTGTCACACCTAAAAATTATTGCCAAGACCAATGTCAAGGAGCTTTTCCACTATTTTCTCCTATAAGGGTCACAGTTTTGGGTCTTAATTTAAGTCTTAGTCCACTTTAAGTTAATATTTGTGAGGTGTCCAGTTTCATTCTTCTGCAAATGGTTCTCCGCTTTTCTGATCACCATTTCTTGAAGGAACTATACTTTCCCTCATGGGATATTCTCGGCTTCCTTGTCAAGTATTAATTGACTTTATGTGTGGGAACTTATTTGTAGGCTTTCAATTCTGGTCTATAGGTTTATGGTTTTTAAAAAATTGTATTTATTTAAGTCATCTCCACACCTAACATGGGGCTTGAACTCACAACCCCAAGATCAAGAGTCACATACTCTTGCAACTGAGCCAGTCGGGTACCCCCAACTCTTATCTATATGTTTTTTTAATGCCAGTACCATACTGTTTTGACTCCTACTTGTAATATGATTTGCATCACTACAGGACTGAGCCCTCCTCCTCCTCTCAGCCTTTTGAATGTTCCCCCAAACAAGACCTCCAGGAAGACCTCCTTCCTCTGCAGCCCGGCCTGGACACCAGGCCAGATACTCATCTGCTTCCCAAAACTGTTCTTCAAGAATTTTAGCTACTGGGTTATAAATCAGGATGCTAATTAAATTATGTCAGGTTAGGGCTAGAATTTGCCTTATTACTAATGAGGAAACCCAGTCCATCGCCTTCTCTCTTTCCCGGCCTCCTGTCCTGGCCTTGCTTTATGTGACTCTTCATCCAGCATGTGAAGTTTTGCCCTGGGCACTGATACCGATGTAGAGTGCTAGCCCTATCCCAGGATTGTGATCTCAGAGCTTCACATACATTTTCTCACTTCATTCCCATAACAACACTTCTGTTATTCCATCACAGCTCAATTTGCAGATATACAAACTGAGGCTCAGAGAAGTTCAGTAATTGCCCATAGTCACACAGCTTGTGAGTGGTGCTCAGAATGAGAGCCCAGGTGTGTCTGACTCTCCAGCTGACACTTTTATGCCCTTGGTTATATAACACCTGAACAAATGCATCTCCAGGTAAGCCAAGCTTGCTCACGGGTTCCCTGCTGCTGGGACCCACTGTTGTGATAGAGAAACATTTCTGGAGTTGACACCCAGACTATTGTACCTCTTGGACCCAAAGCCTGGTAGACCAGATGCCCCTGCTCTAGCCCTGCTGCAGACCCATATCCTGCCCTTCCCCATGCCACACAGCCTAGTTTCCTCTTTCTTATGTAGTGGTGACTTCTGTGCCCTGTGCCCCATCCCTTTCAAGAAATGACATTCAATTTGCTGAATAATTAAAAGCAGGAAATACTCTACAAAAGGAAGTGAGTGGGTCAGAAACTCAAAGGGCCAGAAACTCAAAGTGCAAGCTTGGGATCAGGCAGAGCTGCGAGAGTCCAGCTGGGATCCAAGAGTGCTCTCCCATTGTCCGCAGAAAGGCGAGGAGTCTGGGAGGTGATACCATGAGGCTGTGGCTAGTTCTTCTCTTGCTCAGCTTCCCAGGTGAGTGTGGAGGGGTTCTGGGGACTTGGTACCCCTGTGGCAGGGCAGAGGACCAAGAGCTAGTCCAGGCAGGAGGGGATATGATTTCTGGGGAAATGAGATGTGTTTTTTTTAATTTTTTAAGCAAAAAAAAAAAAAAAGGGTTCTTACTCTGTGTCAGGCATTCACGAGGCCCTGAGGACTTGAAGGGAAAAAAGAAACAGGATTAGCCATTAGAAAGGGGACCCCAGACAGCTCAGGGGATAAGACTTGCAGATAAAGAACAAACAATGGCAGGAATTGATGGAGGGATGCTCAGAGGCCCAAGCAGGTCTGGCTGAAGGAGCTGCAGAAACCCATACAGACACCATCCATCTGATGAACCTTGAAGAAAGGGATCAACCCTTCAAACACAGAAGGGAGAAGAACATTCCATGGAGAGAGGACTGCTTGACGAAGACACGGAGCCTTGAGAAATGATGGTACATTCATGCACAAAGGGTCTCAGTGTGCAGGAGGTCTTGGGGTGACTGGTTGGCCATGAGGTTGAAAAAGCACAAGACAAGATTAAGAAGGCTCTTAGACACCATGGCCAGGAACCGAGACTTTCAAAGAGAAAATTGCTCAGGAACCCAGATGGGAGATGGGAGGGGGTCATGTATCTTCTCTGTGGAAAGCCACTGCATACACTGAGAGAGCATTAAGGTTAGTCCAAAAGTTTGCACAATGTATGCTGTACATGTGGGTCACACACAGTCTTGTCTATGAGCCAGGAGACAGACCTTCTAGCAAAACAAACTGGTCCACAGGGATTCCCCAAAAAGGCCATAACCAGGGAGATGAGAGACTGGAGTTCCAGTTGACAGCAGCACATGACACAGGCAAGCCCCCTCCTTGTTCTAAGACCTGGATTTCTGGTATGAATGGAAGGTCTCTGATTCTCTTTCTAGCTGTAATGTCGGGAGACTCTGCTATTCAGATCAGATATAAATAGACAAGGACTATGGTCATTCTCAAATTATCAAGGCCATTTCTGATTTTATCGTGACAGAGGCCCTGTGATGTTACCTGTAGACAGGTGGGGAGGGCAGTGGCTTCTCTGTGACCACTATGGTCCTTAGGCAGGACTCCAAACAGCCCAGAATTCCCAAGGGACAGCAGTTCAGAATGTCTGCCTCTCCCCCTGGACTCTAGCTTTGCATCTGAGCTCAAAGAGCCCCATCTGCTCCCTCTCTTAATCCCAACACCAAGCTCACCCAGAGGCCAAGGGGAAGGGTGACTGCCTGAGCTCCCACACACAAGGCACTCACACAATGGACTCAGATGCACGTACCCACAAGCATTCATGTCCCCCATTCACATCTGTGTGCTCACACACTCTTCCAGAGTTAGACACAAACTCACGTGTGCACACACACACTCACACACAGTGTCCCTTATATGCACAGACCTACACAAAGAGTCTTCTCCCCCAGATGAAGGCTGAGACTCACAGTGGCTACTCTGTGGCTTTGGACAGGTTGGCTTTGGCTGCAGAAACAAGACAGGGTGTCCTTCCTCCTCCAACTCTGCCATTTCACGATGGAAAGGGGTGAAGTAGTCAGTGATGCAAGGAAAGCCACCCCACTAACTGGCAGCCTTCAGATGTTCTGGGATTTCTTCTGTGAAATGAAAAGGAGAGAAAGTGGATGGAGGGAAGTTGGAAAGACCCGACTTCCCATAAGACGTTCTTGTTGGTTCTGGTACCCTGTCCCACAGCAGCCCTAAGGCAGGCCACTGGCATTGATGGGTGCTCAGGGAATGTTTGCAAGTGGGGGAACAGGAGCAGAGACCTGTACCCCAGAAATTACTCTTGGGCGCTTGAGATGGCATGGCTGCATGGGGACACCAGCAGGGACGCCCTGCTCCATCAGTGCAAAACAAGGTAAATTCAAACCCCTTTGTACATCCCACACCCCATGAGCCCCTCTGCTTTGAGCCCTTCCCTTGGCTGCCTTGCTATCAACCCAGACAGGGACCTATCAACCCAGACAGGAAATTGTTAAAGCAGACAGGGATTTATCAACCCAGACCGGGAGCTCAACTGTTATCTTGACTTTGACACAAGATTATTCACACATTCACACATTCACAAGGATGTGCACATGGGGCAGAATTTCCCAAAGGACTGACATGAAGGAAAGAGGTTATATCTCAGAGTCAGGGAAAGGAAAAATTGAGATTCAAACAGACTTATGCTTTTAAAACTCATCAGCCCGAGTTCTGCTCCCAGCTGACTGCTGTCCTAACATCTCCACCTTCCTTCAGACCAACACTCCACAAAACACACGGGCCTGATTAATAGTTCCACCCATCACAGTCTGTGTTTATGAAAACTTCGCATATATTTCTTTCTAAAACAAGCCTAATCACATTATGAATGCTTTATTGCAAGATTAAATTAGCAAAGTTGGGATTGATGAAACTTCTGTTTCAGAGCAGCAATATCTCTAATTCTGTTTATGATTGTTGGCAAATACCATGTACACTGACCCTCAGCTTCGGATGGTAGCTGTGTCGTTGCTATTGTTGTCTTAAGAAAGAAAGCCACCTTTTCTGCCAACTCTTGTATTTCATTTTAATTGACACTGATTACTGTTTCTTAGCAATCTTTTTCCTAATGGGGTCCTTTTGATTATTAAAATTTTTTCTTTGTCATTTTTTATCAGTTAATGATATTGTGAACATTTACACATAATAGAAATGTATGATTTAGGAAGGGAAATTTCCTCCCAAGTCCCAGGTTCAGCACTGACCACTGTCAAGAGTTTAGAAGACTCATTGACCTATTTTTTTTTTCCTATGCATGGGCCATGGAAGAACCACAGAAATGGAATCCAAACACTCTGTTAGGCAACTTTTTAAAAACTTAATACCGATGTCTCTGGGATGTCTTCCCTGTTATTATTTGTGATCTTTCTTCTTTTAACCATGATATGCGAGGACAGTAATTTATTAGCCCAATCTCTCAGTAATGGTGTTTGAATTTATTTCCAGACTCTACTGTGTTTTACGTTAGCACTGTAATTAGCAGCCTTAGAATTCAGTGCCCCCTGGTGTGGAAATTATAATTCATGCCAGAATCAGAATGTCAAATCAAAATGTCCAAAACCAAATCAAAATGTCCAAGAGCATGACAACAAGCTCCTTTGCAAAAATGATCATAAACTTTATTGGTACCTTCCAGGATCCAGATACCATGCAAGACACGGGGACTGGTGACGGGGAAGAGGGAGAATGCACACCCAAAGTCTCTTCCCTTCAGGACAGAGCATCCTAGTAAAGGAGACAGAGAGAGACTGGTAGTGGTAATAAAATACCAGTGTGGCACTCAGGTTCCTATGAGGTCATGGAGCAATGGAAGGAAGCAGTTCTAGCTGGGAAAGGAATTAAGGTGATCAGTAGGCAGGCTGGGCTCAGAGAAGTGGAAGGAAGGGTGGGAGCAGTGACATAGCTCTTGGGAGGGCCTACCAGGGTCAGATGAAAAGAAAAGTGGGGGGGTGGGTGTTATAGGGTCCAGTGGAAGGCAAGGGGGAGCAGGAAATGGTGCTGGACAGAGAACTTGGATTTAGAAGAAAAAAAAGTTGGAAGTCCAACAAAAGCATTTTAAATCATTCTGAGGCAGTGGGGAGCGGCTGCAGAAGAGATCCTGAAATCCTGATCATGACAAGTGCTGCTGAGGACAAGGTGGGGACTATTTTAGCATGAAACTCCAACAGTGATATGCAGAGGATACTGGAGAAGGGAGTGTAACAGGAACTGGAGAAACTTCTCTGGGTGCTACGGCCATGATCCAGGCACCAGATGGGCTCTTGACCTGGTGAGAGGCTCTCACTGAGGGGGCAACCCCCACCAGAAGATCTGCGTTTTGACACATACCCAAGTCTTACAGCAACCTGCAAAGTTCGAAAGTAGCGAAACGATTTTGCAAATTGAGAAGCAAGACCCAGGGAGGTGAAGTAGCTTACCCAAGTCTTCCCAAGTAGTGTGTGGTAGATGTGAATTTCTCTGTCCAAATTCACTCTTTCTGCTATGTCATGCTGGCATCATGAACCGTGACAGGGTGGGGGGAAAGAAAGAAATCACTTTAAGAAGCATTTTGGAGGTAGAGTCGACTAAAGGGCTCACCAATCAGTTGTAGAGGGAGAAGGGGAGGACAGGATCAATGGAGATGTCAAGTTCTCTGTCAGATGCGCTAGGAATGCTGTTGGTTTGAAGAGTAGAGTTAGTTCTGCTCATGGAATACTGAGTTTATTTCCAATGGCTGCTGTAACAAATGACCACAAACCACAAACTGGCTTGAAATGATGAAACTTATTATCTTAAAGTTCTGAAAGTCTGAAGTCCAAAATGGTCTTCTTGGATAAAATCCTACTGTAGGCAAGGTTGTATTCCCTCTGGAGGTTCTGGGGAAGAAACCATGTTCTCACCTCGTTCAGATTCCAGAGGTTGCCCACATTCCTTGGCTCATGATACCTTTATCTATCTTCCAAGCCAGCAGCATAGCATCTTCCAATCGCCCTCTGACTCTGACACTAACTCATTTTCATCTTATACGAACCCTTCTGATAACATTAGACCCAACTATATAATCCAGGATAATTACCCCTCCTCACATGTTCTTGGGATTACGACATCAACATCTTTGGGAGACATAATTCTACTGAGCACAAATGCAAACCTCAAGTGACCTGAAAGGAAGAAGGTACAGGGTATGAGGAGGTGCACCTTCCTGGTGCAACAGACCTGACTCCTGCGGCCCCCTGGAGACAACCCCTCACCCCCCTGGGCTGATCCTGAGGCTCTGGGGCTAAGACAGTCAGGAGAGGCTTCTATTGTGTTTCTCTGCTTCTCCCTACTTTTTCACTTCCATGCAATCAAAGCACAAGAGGTCATTGCCAAGGACAAAGAGTGTCTGTCCAGTCACATATACTCAGCTTGACTGGAGTCAATCCCCAGAGCAGCACGATACCCTTCCAACTCTTGCTTGTCCCTAACCCATCCCACTCCCCACAGACCTTTGCTAGTGCACCACATGAGCTCTCCAAGGGAGAGAGGAAATACTGAAACAGACCAAGTTCAAGGAGGATTTAGTCCTGGGACTACTGACTTTGGGGTAGAGATGTACAGTGTGTATTTGGAAACAGTAGGCTGGAGCTAAGGAAAGAATGTGGGCCATGAAAGGGGAATTTGGGGAATTATCAGCATGTTGGCAATAACCAAAATCATAGGAAGGGAGAATTCCTCCACGGGGGTGTAGTAAGATGGGACAAAACGAGGACCGGAGAGGGACCCCTCGGCTCCACCCCCAGTGCTCTGGGACTGGTTCACACTGGCTGGCAAGAACCGACTTTTCTCAGCTGTGTGTCCAGTGACACTGCACTGACTGCCTGAGCTCGACCTGGATTGGGAATATTTACACTACAGAAATTAGAAAATGTTACAAATGGAGATTTTCTTCCCCGGAGGGTTAGCTGTTAAGTATTTACCAATACACCACTTTTGCACCAAGATTTAAAGAGGGAGGAAGAGAAATCAGTAGAAGACTCAGAGATGAGCAGTCAGAAGAAGAGAGAGTGGAAGAGGACCGAGTTTTGAAGCCAAGAAAGACAGTGTACACCGTGGGAGCTGATGGGGAAGCTGGACAGAGGAGGTGGACCTGTGGGGGTCAGCTAGTGGGTAGCTGCAAAGGCTGGGACCCTGGCTCAGTCCCTGGACACCAATCTGGGGCCACTTGAGCCCTTGGGGCTCCCAGGACAGGCCTGGCTCCAGGAGGCAGGGGTTTTATCTTAGGATTCTGTTTTCTAGGCTGTTTCTCCATCAAAGGCCCAGAGTCCGTGAGGGGCCTGGAGGGGGGTTCGGTGAGCATGCAGTGTCAATATACACCAGGATGGGAGACTTACAAGAAGTGGTGGTGTCGTGGAGCGGACTGGGAGTCATGCCACACCCTCGTTGAAACTGATGGATCAGAGCAAGAAATGAAGGTAGACCGTGTGTCCATCAGGGACAACTGGAGTCACCTCTTATTCACAGTGACCATGGAGGAGGTCAGGCAAAGTGACACAGACACTTACTGGTGTGGGATTAGCAGATATGGACCTGACCTTGGGGCATCTATCAAAGTGACCATTGACCCAGGTAAGAACTTTCTCATCTACACAGTGAGGCCCTCTTGCTTAGGACAGAAAGAATGAGGGTTTCTGCTTCCCCCTCCCCAAGGGCAGAAGGGAAATGGCTGAGTAGCTGAGAACAGCGTCCCCATCACAGTCCCTGAGGTCACCTGAGGTATCTAGATAGATAGTCTTGGGGGAGGGGTGGGAACATGGACCCCAGCATCATTGCCCGTGGTCCAGCCCAGCTGTCCTGGGGACCCACAACCTTGGCAGCCCCCCAGTCTCTCATCAGAGGTGTGGGTGGACCTTGGATGCCTTGGGTCCCAAGGCATGGCTCCAGGAAGTGGTCACTGGTAGTCACACTCCTGACCCATCACTACACAGAGAGAGGCAGAGGGGATACCTGGGGAAGCCCAGAGCACTGAACCCCAGGAACTTGCCCAACCCAGAGTAGCTCTGGGCATGCGACAGTGCCTCTCCTTTCTGGGCCCCCAGCCACCCTGCTCTCTATTTTCCCTGGCTGCATAAGAGTGAGCAAGGAGTTAGAGGGACCCAAGAAGTGGCTCAGGTAACAGAGAATGCTGTAAGCAGAAAAGAAGGATTTGACCATTATGCCAACATCAGGGACCCCTCTGTCTGTCCTGGGGTCTCCGCAGGCCTAGGACTCAACTAAAAAATAGCTCATGGACAGTCAGTGCCAAGCTGGTCTCAGGAATCTATGACCAAGTAGCTGACCATAAATTGTCTTCATAGTTTCTCATACAGATGTTTAATTCATCATAGCCATCGCTCACGATAGAACCAGAATGTGCCCTCTTATTCACCAGCCCTCCAGAGTCTTCCTCCTCCTCCTTACCACCCCAGTAACTGGCCGCCCCATTTCCAGAACCACTTGTCCTTGAGCCCAGCTCAGGCACTGCTCTAGGACCAATGATGTTCCCCGCCCAGCTCCCCCCCGCCCCCCGTCTGGCTAAAGTCCCACCTAGAGGCGTAAGTGGAGAGAAGTGGAAAGATGGATCTCTCGCCCCAGAAACACATACAGCACAGGCTCCTGTTTCCTTTTTATTTCTACCTGAGTCGATGGAAAGCGACTGAGTGTTGGTTCAGAAAACTCAGGCAGAGGGCACCTGGCTGGCTCAGTCTGTTAAGTGTCTGCCTCTGGGTTTGGGCTCAGGCTAAGATCTCAGGGAGGTGAGATTGAGCCCCGTGTCGGGCTCTGTGCTCAGCGTGGAATCTGCTTGAGATTCTCTCCCTCTCTCTCTGTCTCTCCACTCCCCGCTAAAATATATAAACAAAATCTTTAAAAAAGAAAAAAAGAAAGGAAGGAAGGAAGGAAGGAAGGAAGGAAGGAAGGAAGGAAGGAAGGAAGGAAGGGGGAAAAAAAAGAAAAGTCAGCAGGAAGGGAGAAGCCTGGGGACTGTATCTGGCTTCCTAGTCGAGGGGCAGGGTGGCTCCCAGGGGGCCCAGCAGGGAGCCACCCATGAGCCCCAGTCTGTCCCCATAACCTGTGGCCAACTCTGCCTGTGTCTAGTGGACATGGTTCTGAGCACCTCGGTGAGCCCAAGATCCAGAACAACTACCAGCAGACGTACAGGGTTGACATCCAACTCCTACATCAGGTGAGTGGCTGCCATCCTGACACTGCCCCTACCTGGGGCCTCTCCTACTCTGCTTCTGCACCCTCACGGGCCACCAGAGAGGTCACAGCCAGAGTGAAGGCCCAAAGCCGCTATCCCCCCAACAACTCGTTCCTGCCCATGTTGCCCCTACCCCCCAACTCCCCATTCCAACCTCCCAAGAAAGCCACGCAGCAGAATCTTTTTTTTTTCTTTTTTAAAGATTTTATTTATTTATTTGACAGAGAGAGAGAGAGATCATCAGTAGGCAGAGCGGCAGGCAGAGTGGGTGGGGGGAAGCAGGTTCCCTGCTGAGCAGAGAGCCTGATACAGGGCTCGATCCTAGGACCCTGAGATCATGACCTGAGCCGAAGGCAGAGGCTTAACCCACAGAGCCACCCAGGCACCCCCAGAATCTTTCTTTATGTTCAGTTGTCAACAACAACGAAGTCCTGATGACCTAGAGCATACCAAGGGGAGATAAGACAAAATCCCCACCATGCGAGGCGCTAGGTGCCACGGAGTGGGAGTGTGGCTCAGCCACCTGGAGCTGGCATTTTCAGGAGCAGCAAAGGCACAGAGCCTGTCGTGGGCCACCCCAGGGTGCTGAGACTCACTTCGGGAAAGGGGAGATGCAGGAGGCGCGATTAGAAAGGAAGGTGGGCCCAGAGCCAAGCAAAACCGACAATGTGAGTTTCCTTCTGAGGAGCCCTCATGGTTGAGCCACTGAGCCAAAGCCACTGCAGTCTTTGGCCTGGGGCTTCCGGGTCCAGAGTCTCAGGCTTTGCAGGGCTGGCCAATGCTCCCTCCCGTCAGGGTGCAGGGAGTGACGGGGCCTGGGCGCCTAGGGCTCTGACAGCTCTGTCCTCTCTTGCAGGAACCACTACATTCTCCTGGCTTTCCTGAAGGTGTTGGTCTTGCTCATGTTGGTTGGTACTGTCTTTTGGTTGAAGGGGTCTCAGCAGAGACTGCCCATCTATGTGAACTTGTCCTCTGATCTCGTCAGAGACACAGCCCCTTAGACAGACGGACAAGCAGAAACTTCCACTCCTGGACCCCATTTCCAGAGGAGACCCAGGCTGTGGCAGAAATGCCTCTGGGTCCTCGGGAAGTGGTGACTGATGCTGGGGGTGCTGAGGGGCTGGCCAGGCACCCTCCTGGCTCTGCACAGCTCAGGCACACAACTCATTTTTTTTTAAAGATTTTATTTATTTATTTGATAGAGATCACAAGTAGGCAGAGAGGCAGGCGGGGGTGGGGGAAGCAGGCTCCCTTCTGAGCAGAGAGCCTGATGTGGGGCTCGATCCCAGAACCCTGAGACCATGACCTGAGCTGAAGGCAGAGGTTTAACCCACTGAGCCACCCAGGTGCCCCAACTCAGCACCCTCTTGAGGTTTCATGGCTTCTTAGACTTGTTCCCACCCCTTCAGGTTGCAAATGCCCCATGCTACACAACATGGGGTCAGGGCTCATGGTCAGAGCTATTGGGGTGGAACCCAAGCCACATCCTCTTTTCTGGAAGAAGTTGGGGCACAGAACCAACGACCAAAGCACAGAGAGAAGCAGTAGGGGTGCAGACAGACAGAGAGATGGAACCCTGCCCACGCCCTGGTCTCCTTCATTCCTGAGACCAGTTCAGCACTCTCTATATCTGAGCTTCTGATATATAAGGGTTTTTTCGTAAGCCAGTCAAGTTGGGCCTCAGAAACTCCTTCAAGGTTGGGGAGGGCAGTCAGGAAAACTGTCTGAAGGAAAAGATATGGTCTCTCCAACATGATGATATTTTAATAATCTTAATAATTAATTTGTTTAAATAACCTTAATCATTAAAAGTGTCATGATAAATGACTTTTTCTTGGTTTGTCCATCTGGATGGACTCGGCCACTTTACCTTATGGGCCATGGATCCTCCCACCAAAGGGACTGTCACATCACGTAAGAAGGAACACCCCCCCATTTGAGATGTGTCCACCCACAAGCAAACACACACAAACACACCCATTTGGAATGTTTCCCTTTGTTTTACCCTGCAGCTTTATTGAGCTATAAGTGACAAATAAAATTGTATATACTTAAGGTGTAAATGTGCTTTTTTAAAAGGGGCACAAAGTGATGATTTAACATATATAAACCCCTTGAAATAAACACTACAACCTAGTTCATTAACACACCCATCATTTTACATATTTATCTCTTTTTTTTTTTTGATGTGAGATGAACACTTCAGATCTACCTTCTTAGCAAATTTGAGGTATACAACACAGTATTGCTAACCATAGTCATCAGGCTATATGCACTATGCTAAACCCAGACCTAGCTTATAACTGAAAGTTTGTGCCCTCTGAGCAACAGCACCTCATTTTCTCCTGTGCCCCAGCCCTTGGTTCTATGTGGAATGTTTCCCTCGGAACACCTGGGAGGACGTGTCCACCCTGTCCTTTGTCCCCATAGGTAGGCCTTGGTTCTGAGCCTCAGGCAGCCATGGGAAGGTGGCTCACCAGGGGATAAAGGAGACAGGAATCCCTGTCCTTAGCATGGTAGCCGGAACATCACCTCCCCACCGGGAAGCGAGAATCCCCTCTCTCTGCCCTTCAGCCAACGAGAAACATTCTCCCACTTTCACTTGCTGTAAGGCTCTGGTCAGTGGGTGGGCCTAAAAATTCCACTGCCCCCAGAGAGGATAAACTTTGAGCCAGACTAATAGCCTTTGAATCACCCTGCTTGGGGACCAAGGTCCGTAGTCCACCAGCTCCAAAGGTCCCTCTCTGCAGATACATCCTTGGATCCAGCCTCCCCAAGATGCAACCAGACTCGGGTGACAAGCAGTCCTTGGGGGGCAAAGCCAGAGCCCAGCATCTTCACTAGCTGGCCCAAAGGGGTGCAAGGCCCCTGGTAATCGCTGCCTTGGTCCCTGCTTTACCCACAGTGTCTTCCTGTTGATATTCAACAACCCCTATGTCTTTGGAGAATCTGCGGTTGGGTTTTTACTCTCAGGACATCATCAAAGAAAATGCACTGGAGTAGGCTTCAGGGGTCTGTCCTGAACACCACTCCCACCATACATGCGTGCTCATGCACACACACGCACACACACACACGTGCGTACACACACACACACACACACACACACTTCTGGAAATTGCCCCTTGGGTTCCCATGAAAATGGTGAAGCAAAACTTGCCTCTTACATTTGCTGTCCAAGGTAGGGAGAAAGACAGAAATTGTAAGTTAGCCACTGGGGCAGGATAGAGTTTTCCAGCAAATGAGTTTCCACTAGGAGCCTGGTGCCCAAGCCCCTGTGCTTACAAACAGCTCTGGATGGGGACAGCTCCTCATGTACTCACATGGGCACACACGATAACCAGGAGTTAGTAGAAGCAGAGAAGGGGAGAGAGCAAGAGTCAACTGCTCTTTTGAGAAGAAAGCATAACTTCTCCTTCCCCACAGGTTCCTCCTTGTGGGCCCTTACTTCCTTTTTTTTTTTTTTTTTAATGGAGCTTCCCCCACCACCCCACTTCTGAGCAGCTTTGCAACCACAGATGAAGTTTATCAAGAGCAGGGAGAAACTGGTCAGGGTCAGGAGAATCAATGGCAGCCCCATCCGGAAAGGGCACCCCAGTGGGAAGGGCCCCTACCACTACCTGGGACATGGGGTTAGTTCCTCTTGATACTAGCTATGTCCTGAATGTGTTTTCTTAATAAATGAGGTTAAAGGAAGACGTTTCTAGCACCTTCCACCTACCTCTGAAACATTTCCCCCTACAGCTTACTGGTCTGCCTTGGTCCACATGCGCAGGCTTTCTAGATCCCCATGGCTGGTCTGCTTATGTCCCCCCTGCTCTGCACCTCGGCTGTCGGGGAGTCAAGTCTCCACCAGAATGGGGGTCCAGGTACAGCCCTGGCAGTTCTCCTGGCCTCTCCTCAAATCCATGCTGTGAAGGCTACCAGGGAAGAGGTCTGGTCTGGGCTCTCTCTGGGTGCCACTGTTTTATTCTCTCACCAGAAGGGCACCGTCTGCTGCCCTGCATCATCTCCAACCCAGCTCCTAATTTGCTGATCACCTTACTTCAAATTTAGCCCTCTGGTCTACCTCCTGCCAATCCCCAAATGTTTCCTGAATCGCCCTTAAGTCTGTGCAGTCCCATGATTGGAGCCAACTCAGCATGGCCAGGACAGGAGGCATCCTGAAGGTGGAGGCCAGCCTCAGTCCCCAAGAGATGGGACCACTGTCCAGTGGGGAGCTGGGAGGATGATTTTTGGGGAATTTGGGCCAAGGCTGCTGTTCCCATTGAAAGCATGCGTTTGGGGCCAGGTCAAATCCTTATCCTTCCCTTATTCATCCACCCATGAATTCCTTCAACAAATGTAACTGAAGTGCCTGTGAGGTCCAGGCACTGGTTCCAGGGCACATGGACTATTGTACGAATGGGGGAGCCCCTTGCTGACTCCTTCTACACATTTAGATAGAAATGCAAGGGCCCGTTCTCCTATCAGCTGCTCTCCTTTTAACACTGAAGAGAAAGGTTGCAGCTGAGCAGGAAAATCATGGTTTCTTCTGTGGCAGTCACCATGGAACATGATTTAGAAAACACATCTTGGGATTAAAACAATAATGAGATCCTGCTACACACCTACTGGAATGGCCAAAATCCAAGGATGAGGGGTTGGAGTAACTGGGTGATGGACATTAAGGAAGGCACATGATGTAATGAGCACTGGGTAGCATAGAAGACTGATGAATCACTGACCTTTACCTCTGAAACCAATAACACTTATATGTCAATTAGTTGACTTTAAATTTTTAAAAAGTAAAAAAAAAAAAAAAAAAAAGGACGGCCAAAATCCCAAACACCGAAAACACTAAATACTGACAAGGATGTGGAGCATCAGGAACTCTCATTCACGGCTGATGGGAATGCAAAATGGGTACAGGCACTTTTAAAGTTAGTTTGGAAGTTTCTCACAAAACTCAATATACTCTAACCTTGTGACCCAGCAATCCTTGGTATTGGCTCCAATCAACTGAAAAGTTATGTCCATACCAAAGTCACACAAATGTTTATAGCAGCAGCTTTATTCACAATTGCCAAAACTTGGAAACCACCAAGACATCTTTCAGTAGGTGAATGAACACATAAACTGTGGTCCATCCAGACAGTGGAATATTATTCAACCCTACGATTAAATGAGCTATCAGGCCACAAAAAGATGTGGAGAAAACATAAAGTTCTACTATTAAATGAAAGAAGCCAATCTGAAAGTGCTATATACTGTATGATCCCAACTATATGACATTCTGGAAAAGGCAAAACTATGGAGACAGTAAAGAGATCAGTGGTTGCCAGGGGTTGGAGGGAGAGAAGGATGAAAAGAGGAAGCACCAGGTTTTTTAGGGCAGTGTAACTGCTCTGAGGGATACCGTAATCATGGACACACCTTTGTCTAAACTCATAGAATGTAGAAAACCAAGAGTAAGTTCTAACGTAAACTGTGTTCTTGAGGCGCCTGGGTGGTTCAGTTGGTTAAGTAACCGCCTTTGGCTTGGGTCATGATCCCAGAGTCCTGGAATGGAGCCCCGCATCGGGCTCTCTGCTCAGTGGGGAGCCTGCTTCTCCCTCTCCTTCTGCCACTCTCCCTGCTTATGTGCTCCTGCTCTCTCTCTGTCAAATATAAAAATAAAATCTTAAAACAAAACAAAACTGTGTTCTAGTGTGATAATGGCATGCCATGCCAATGCTGCCTTGTCAGTCATATGTAACAAATGTCCCATTCTGGAGCAAGGGGTTGATGGTTGTTGGGAGGCTGGGCTAGGGAAGGGCATATGGGAACTCTGTATTTCTGCTCAACTTTGCTGTGAAAGTAAGGCTGGTCTGAAAAATAAAGCCTACTAGAAAAAACAAAATGAAAAGACTAGTGAGAAGATGAAGACCTTGCATGGGATACTGAAAACTTTGGGGGGAAAGTAAGTCCCAAATTCTAAAGCAACTATAGAGGCAGCCCCACCTTCTTCTGGCTGACCCTGAGCCTCCTCTGGGGTAGAACATAGCCTCACTTGCTCCTGGGCTCTTGGGTCTCCCTCCTCCCATGGTGAGCTTTGAAGGGTGATACAGATCACACCTGATTCCCAAAGCTTCTGCCACTGGAGCTTTCAGCACATCATCTGGGATGCCAGAAAAATTATC